GGCATTATCGTTTTCCAAATTGAGATATTGTACAACGATGATGAAAATTTGCGTAACAATGACGGTCTCTCTTGGAGCGATAAATAAAAATAATTAGACCATAGAAATTAGGCGATATAAATTAGAATATAAATTATGCTATACATTACTTAGAAATAAATGTATATATAATTAAGTGCTTAGATGAAGCAGTAGAAGGGTCAAAACGCCAAACGCCACTAATGGAATTTATTAACCAATAAAATTACTATATCTCGGTTGTATCCCACCTCAGATATATCCCAAAAATCCTGGGGATATAAACGAGGTATGACTGTAATTAAATTTTTGTGCTCAAGACTTTTTTTTTTCGAATTATGGCGAGCAAAGTAGGTTATAAGTAAGTTCGTAGACACGCCATTATTCACAAATACAGGAATAATTTACACGATGCTCACGGAAGCAATGTCAATAAAGTTATATTTCGACGAGCGGTTGAATTTTATGTTTTAAAAACGACGAAACAAGTCACACTCGATTTATTAGGAGAAGATAATCTAAGCCTATATTAGAATCAGAAACAAAGCCGACATTGCACAACTAAAAGAGTTATTGCTAAAAGAAGACAAAGCTCGCAATCAGTGCAAAACAAGGAAAGAAACTCCGAACAATTGTTCGACTAATCACGTGACAGCCATCACAAACTAGACCCCAGGAAACTCTGACGAACCAAGGTAATTTATCATGCAAATAAACTCGATAAGGCCCAAGTCGGGCAATAGATTCGTGAAGTCGACATATTAATACATGAATGAATAACAATCGTAATCGTATCAAGTTATTATTGGTCGGATTCACTATTTTCCCGCAATCTGTCAATGATACCCGACGCTAACGCTAATTTAATTAGAATACCAAGCATTGGGCGTAAAATGATATTACGCACGTTACTGCGCAAAACACAAACGCATTTGCCATATTACGCAGCCAACGTTTTTATCATATATATAACTCACACATGCTTCCCTTTCCCGCAAGCAAATAATAATGCCAACGATAAAGGTAACTCATAACGACGAGATTCGGCAGTTTGCCGTCTCCTCCCATTCAACATGGACAGAGCTCTCCTCCACTCTTCGCGCAATCTTTGTTATCCCTCCCCCTGCTGAAATCACCCTTTCCTATACCGACGAGGACGACGACGAGGTCATCCTGTCGACTGATTTGGAACTCAGAGAGCTATTGAATCAACACGTGCCCGAAGGCGGGCCTATGAAATTTACGTTGAGAACAGCCGAGGAAAATGAAGAGGACGGTGTTGTTATTCTGAATAGTATCCGTGACAGAAACAACAGTGTCGGCGAAAAAGGATGGGTGCTAGAAGGAATCAGTGGACACGAAATTGTTGTTAATAAGGACAAGTTGGAAGACGATGTGAGCAGTTGTGACGGAGAGTTCGAAAACATTGACGAGGATAAGAAATCAGTTGATATTGAATCAAGGTCAGAAAATGGTAAATCCGACCAGGAGCATACAGAAGAACGTATTCCATTATTACATGGCTTGTCTCGAGCCGAAGTCGACACACCTTCCGAGGAAGAACAGACTGAATCACGTGAGACGGAGATTCCTCCATCGTCTCCACAACCTCCTCCGTCATCTCCACAACCTCCTCCGTCGTCTCCACAACCCGAGGCTTCAAACTCTAATCCAACTCTGGACGATCTAACTCAACAACTCCAATCTCTTGTCAACCAATTCCAAGAATTCTTTATCCAAAACCCTCAAATTGTGGAAACCGCTAATAGGTTGATACATGACGTTGTGGATTCGGTTAAAGGTGACGTAGAGTCTTTCGGTGAGTGGTTGAAGGACATGAAAAGACAAATCGAAGAAAACGTACTCAGCGGAACAGATATGAATGCGAATAGGAATAGGAATAGGAATAGGAATAGGAATACAGATGAAACCAGCCAATATGCATACACACCAACTTACACTCCACCAGAACGTTCTGATGATGTGCCAGCCTATCGCGAGTGTCCATTCTTGAGTGGAATGCCCGGAAATACTCCCAGTTCGCAATATACAAATAATGAGGAACGATCTCCTGACCAGACCAAAGATGAAGTTCCTCGACAACGTAGTCATCCGTATAATTGGAACGTTAACCCATCCCACCGTCATCATCCGAGCCCTACTCTTCCTCATCCTTCTCATCGCCATCCTGGTCATCCTCGCCCTCCTCATAGCCATCCACCACCGCCATCACCTCCTTCTCACTTTACTTCCGATTCTTCCGACCACCCCAATTTGCCAAGCTCATTTACCGCTCCTCCCCCACCGCCGCCACCACCACCGGTCCCACAACACACAACACAAGAGCAGCAAGAAACACTGCCAGGAACGGTTCCATACATAAATGGAATTTTCAGAAATTTGGGCTCCCGTTTGTTCACACCGTCCGGAATAAATAACGACGCGAACGATGACACAACTGATAACATGGCTTATAGTCCGTCCCACAACCTACCTAGGTTCTGCGCATACCAAAGCCCAGATGGCGATATTAAATGCGGTCGTGGTCCATTTGGCGAGCCAAAGTTTAATAGCTCGGAATATCCAGGATATAGCGGGTCTTTTGGAAATTTTATGGATGATGATGACGATGATGATGATAAGATCAATAAATCGGATAAAACTCAGCACATGGAAGATAGTGATGACCAAAACGTCCAAGATTTTGCTCTTGCTCCGGACGATCTTCTTGCCGATATTCGACTTCTTCGCGAGATGGGTTTCACCCAACCTACGCGCGAACTTGAATGCCTGTTCAGACGTAATAATAACAATATTGATGATGTTCTTGGTATTCTGCTTGAGGAGACTGAGAATCGGTATTAGGTGAAGAAGCAGAGTTGTAGCTACTGCTTGAGTATATAAGGAGAAGTCTCTCTCTGTATTCAAGGTGAAACTCTGAAAGAATATTGTTTACTCTTTCTTTTCTTTTCTTTTCTTTTCTTTTTTTAATTGTAAGATTTAACAAATACCAATTATATTTTTGACCAATAAATAATAAAATTTACAAGTTACAAAACTTGTGTTAAAATGTTGCATGGCATCGAGTTTTATTCATTGTATTATACGGGAAATCCTATATAAATCTTATTGCTTAATGAGTTTGAACAATTAGCATCGCTTATATAAACGAACGATGGTATCTTGTCTAACTTCCCCTTCTAACTGGTCAGCAACTTCTAAATGAACGATTCCCTTTATCATCCGTGGTTATATAGATCTAGGATACATTTATCGCACGTGCAATTCAGCAGGATCTGGCCATACAACCGGTAACTTTTGTAAGACTCCCGATAGTTTTTGAGTTTCACTTTCATCATCAGATGTTGGCTAAAGACATGCATGCAATTTTTTGTTCATCCCCAAGAGCAATCAATGGGAATAGAATGGCGCAACATATCGTCTTTTGTTAGAATTGTAGGTTCCCATGCCAATTGTAAATCAACGAGTTTTGACCCAAGAAACAGTCCTTTAAACAACTCTTGTATGAGCTGTTACTATTGCCGAGATGCTATTGCAAAGCTGTGTATCGAATTAACAATTGTCTTTTATCTATATGACTATTTTCGTAACAATAACGATACTCGTAAATGTGTTTCCAAACCTCGCATAGCTCTCTAATTCAAAATTGTAGCAGAATAGGTATAATGAAATCTACCCCTCTTTGATTCCTTTTACAAATAACTGTGTCTTTAGTGTATGTGATAATGACCATCACTACTAGTATAACCCTTTTTTCACTTTGCTAATTCACCTCCAAGAACACTAGCTTGTTTCAAGTCTGTTTCTATCCCCTTATCCGTAGTTTGATGACTTTTTCCTTCTGATTGCGTTCTGTTATATGTTCGTTTGCTTATTCTTCGATAAGTCTGCGAATTCCTCGAGATATGTAATCTGTTCTCCAAATGATCAAATCGCTGGAAGCCATATACAAAAATAAGTATAATTAAATCAGCAAATACAAGACAATTATCTGGTCATATAAGCATCTGAGATCAATAGCAAGAGTTCCCTTTACCATTTGAACGAGTCTTTTTGTTGTAAGATCAGGTCTGACAAGCCGGAATCAGTTATCTTTGCTATGCCCGGCATGAATCAATATATTATGAGAAGACTTAATAATAACTGTTATTGAGTTCCATAGAATGCTTGTACAAGTCCCCTTTGAAAGCTGCGTGAGCGTGTTTCTTAGCCAGCTGACGTATAGCTCGCGACTTTCCCAACCACTAGACTGAGTGAGGGTTGTGTAAGGGGAATACCATTTGCTCGTGCCTTGACCATTCCATTTCATGACATGACAACTACTTATGGTGCTTCAAATATGCTTGTCCCACGTTCCGAGTCAGATAACGTGACTATTTAGGACACTTTATAAAAGGAACATGTTAGTTAAGTTGTGGTTGCATGCTCTGTTCTCAACTCGTATTGTAATGCATTCCAAATATCCTTCCTCTGTTGCTTCCAGTCTATGATGAATAAACATGCGTTGCTTACTTGCTTACCTTGTTCTGTGCATCTTCAACGTGCGCGTTTATACGTAAGTATTGTTGTGAAATGTTCAGTGACTGATATCACAACCAAAAGATTGGCTGATTGTGTGCGCGTATTTATTTGACGATGATGATTATACATAAATGGACAATCGTACAATGGGATTCAAGGTTTACTTATTGCGTTGTATATAATAATAATTCAGTTATTAACCATGCCTATCTATGATGCGACAAAGAATCTGCAGCGAGTATCTCATTATTACAGTATGTCCGGACGCCTTAAATTCATAATGCTTTTGGAAGGAGAACAAACGTTGAGTATAGAAAAAATGATACGATATTAGATCATGAAAGAAGGCTATGGTACCAAGGAAAGTGTTCAAAATAGCAATAATGATGATGATAACACACATTTGATAACAGTATTTTGTAGTTAAGCTCTTTTAAATGCACGCCAACAGTTATATTCTACAAGACACTTTAACTCCATCATTCCCGTGGCCATGGTTTAAATGTCTTCACAAATGTATGGCTTAAGCTTATATAATTTATTAAGTTATCTTCTCTAGACGGCAATTGCATCATCTATGCATAACGTCAGCTTAATATAGAATGTGTGTGTGGCAACTTTAGTGATGTACTGTAATAGTAGTAAGCAAACCGATTTTTGTATGGGGGAGACGTTCGTGCATTAACTAACATGGGTTTAGTTTATTGGCTGAATGACTTTGTAACAATGCCTATACTGTCATTAAGCACATTACGAATTGAGCATAACTTCTTGTAGTTTATAAAAAAGACGACAATATGTGGCATTTCGGATGAATGCAAGGAAAGGAATGTGGAACGATGCTTTCTCTTCTATTGAAAACTTATCTTTGGGCTTGCTTGCTTGGTTTTTTTTTTTTTTTTTTTTTTTTTTTTTTTTTTTTTTTTTTTTTTTTTTTTTTTTTTTTTTTTTTTTTTTTT